TCTCGTCTTCTGTAACACTCAATTCACTTATCCTTTATTTGAAGTCCGAAGAGTTCTTGACGGTKTAGGTGTTCTTTAGTAGAGGAAATAGTAGTGTAACAAGGTGTTTAGACAGGCAATAATTATGTAGGAGAACCAAACGCAGCTAGTAATAAAACGCAGTTGATTACCAGGTTTGTGAATTTTCGGTAAACCATAAAACGTAGGTGTTCTTGCATCGGATGAATGTACRTAACGTAGAGTGACGGAGGCGACTTTTTCTCGTCGTAAGGTGAGCGCTTCAAAGACAAGTCCATCAATAATTTATCCATATCCTGTTCCGTTCTACRATGTAGTTGTAGGATTACGCCACTTGTCTGTGATATTTTTATACGTATTGGTATTGTCCAACCCGTTAACTTACGCGTGCAAACTTAGCTCTTTTATTACAACGCACTGAGGAAGGTCAGAGTTCTGACCGAAAAGTCTGCGTTTTTCATTAAAATCTCAGGCTAGTGACAAATATTTTTACTTCAGTTTTTATTATGTCTTTCCCTTGCTGCAATCTTAAAATATTTATATTTTAATGGAAATACAGCCTTGTGCAAAAAATATGAGAATTGTTGAAATATCTAAATATCATAATATCGAGTGCATGGTGGGCAATCTCGCGCGATGCCCTTAGTCCCTTGTCTTTGTAGTTTAGTTTTTTTTTTGGCGACAGACTTATCCGTAGTTCTGAACAATTTCTCGATGTCAACAATGAATTATTCTAGCAAACCCGCGTGTTCCGGACAATATATGGATATGGATATTATGATATTTAGATATTTAGACAATTCTCATAATTTTTGCAAAAGGCTGTATGATGTAAATTAATTAAACGATGTAAATATAAATATCGCGTAAATCCAAATTTACACGATATTTACATCATTTTGAACATTTACGCAATATTTGAAACGTTTGTAAATATAATGGAAATTGAATTTACATCATATATTTCCATTAAATTTACAACCTTCGAGGAGCGTGAATCACCAAAAAAAGCACGAGAGAATGTTGTATAAAGCACAAATGCGATAACAATTTACACTTACCCGGAGTTGAGGCTTACCCTGTATTCTCAYAAGACTTAAACCTTAGGTCTCATGGGAATACAGGTTTGGCTTCAAATCAAGGAAAATTTAAATTTTCAAGGCTATTGTAATAACKACATTTTCTCGTGCTCTCTTTTGTGTTTGGTAAGTTCTTTGCGTGAGAGAATCTGTTAGAGCAATTTTATTTAACCCGTGAAATAAAAACTAAATAGTTCTTAACAATTAGTCACTATTTTGTATTCAAATAGATGATAGTATTCAAGCGAATCAACTTATAGTTCAATGCTCAGGAGACATTAAATAAAAAAGAATCAAATTCAGTCATTCATACGCAAAAAAAAACGCGTTAAAAAATCTTTATTAATTTGCGCTGCTGCAAAATCAAGACACAAGGCACATCACAAGACGCATCTAAACCACACAATACGCGAGGGGACGCKTTTAAGAGTCTTTATTCTCGGCACCGCAGCAAAATGGAGACAGAAGAACGAATTCTATCGCTCAAAGCAACGCAATTGATCGTTTTCAACCATTCCCATGAGATTCAAAAGATAAAAAACCGGCGGCCATGTTGGAGGAACGAACGATAGATACTAATAAGAAATCTTTTGTTGAAGTTCCTCCAAGAACAAGAGTCCGCTGTGACGTACTTGAAAACGAAGAATATGGCTAATCAATAATATAAAAAAGGAGACATACTTGACAGCGCCCTTTTAAATTTGTCCTTTGCTTAAAGCTCCAAATAAACCGCAAGACGAWTTTATCGCTTGKACGGATAAGTTTGTGAGATACGTACCTTTTTAGCATGAGACTTTGGCTACAAAAACACTATTTACAGCGGTTTGTAACGGTTATAAGTGTAGCTGGCTAGTTGAGCTCCAAGGAAGACGTGTGTATAAAAACACGTGCACTTGCAATACACGGCTTACATGAAATAACTTTCAAATTCTTGTGTATTTAAGGTCTCCTGAGTATTGAACTATAAGTTGATTCTCTTGAATKCTATCATCTATTTAAAGTACAAAATAGTGAATAATTGTTAAGAACTGTTTAGTTTTTATTTCACGGACTAAATAAAATTGCTCTATCCCAAAAAGCATCGGTTTTTCGCTTTGAATTCGAAAATAGAGTACTCAGGCGGAGTGTCTTATCCAACTTTATATCATACCAGAGCCTTTTAGTGTACTTACAAGATAGTTCTTACCTTCAATTCACAATCCGTCCAACTAATAAATACTGTAATTWACTTAGCAAGCACAGCTCAATTCAATCCCTGTTATCTTAATAAATCACGTACGCTCTGCAAGCTTACTAACTCATGTCGTRTTCAGTTAACTGAACAGATTTGKATTGGCAATTAAATGAAAAATGTTTAACACCAAATATTAACAATGGCATGTGAATGATTCCTTTTACTGGGATTAAAGGTATGGCCACATTTTACCATAAAGATAGAATCCTTATGTTCAAAACATCTACTATATATACCCTTTTCCTGTGGTTGGGGTATTTATCACTTTATTCTGGTTGCATTACCAATTGATTTCAATAATATWAATTCAAAATGAAAGCTCAAATTGAAAAMAAACAAATTGACATTACGATTCTGATTAGTTAAGATTCTTTGCAAGAAMGTTTAGATCTCCAGGCAACAGAAAAGGAAGCGACTGTGTTTTACGTATTCTTGGTGTGCAACCACATGACAAGGAATCTCCTGAGAAATAAAGAACAAAGCTATCGCCGCCATGTTGGATGAATGAACAAGAGAAACTAATGAGGAATGCTTTGTGATTTTCATCCAACATGGCGGTGATGACGTAGGTTGCCCACCAAGAATACTTTAATTATGGAAATAATTATGATTCTCAGGGAGTTGGTGTAACAAAACATGAAGTAAACAGTCTTTGCGTTTTTAAGCCCTAACGCGAATCCTACAKTTGCTTTGGTGTAATCCCAAAGCTTACCAATGGGGTTAAATACAATGACCTAACATATGTATTTAGTATAATTTCATAAGTGAATATCATAATTATAGTGCGCTGATTGRTCGAATTTGAAATATTCTATTAAGATTAAAAATTTCCCAATCMTAATTCCTGATTACATTTACCGTCAAAAAGAACACTCTTTAGACGATGTTAGAGATTAACATCCAATTAAGACCAAGTTTACTCATATTTTTAATACAGTAATATCCCACGTACAAAACCTTAGCTTTTCTAAGAATTTTCAAATACTATTTTTAAAATATAAAACAATACAAGATGATAAGAGTGGTTTTCATCAACCTTTGAAACACACTTTAGCGTATTAAACTTGTTTACTCTTTATTATAAAAGTCATTCTGAGACTTTTCTGTGTATTACACTTTGACTATTACACTTTGTTTCTCAGTTTAATGAAAATCACTCTAATTCAGCAGTTTCTAAAGCATAACTTATGTTAGTGTAACAGTTCCCAGGTTGTTGTGAGCGGATTAGTACGTGCTTTCATAACAGTAACAATTTGAATATGGAAATAAAGAACATGAACTCGATATTATAACGATTTCACAAAACGCGCTTTCATACGGGTGATGAGATGCTAATGAGCATACTTCGCGTCAAGATACACGCATCCATGACAATAGAAGACTTCACTTTTCATTATTTGGAGAATCACTTGCAAAACTGCTGAAAAATGCATCGAATACATTTAAGTTGGACCATTGATTCTCATCATAATAGACAGTTTGTTTTCAAATGGTTTTCCATTCCAGAAAATGTGGTATTAATAATTGATTAGTATA